TAGAACTTACTGAAAAGCAACAATTCCTTCTGACCTCGGTTGAACACTCAATGAGAAAAATCCATTCAGCAGCACAGGATAGGGGTGTTGAAGGACATTCAAGGGCGCAGAATGCCGTGTGACGAGGATGGATGATGTTGGGGGGGTTGGGGGGAGGGGTGGGGGGGAGGCAAATATGGGAGAAAGGAGAGGATGAAGCCAGCAGGTCCTTGCTTTTAACGCTGCCTGTCACTTGCAGGGGTCGGCTTGGACAGTGTGTCAGACACGCTGATGTGGCTTCAAAAGAACAGGATTCATACGTCAGGTGCTCTTTTATTGCCATTTATAAGAACTTGCTTTTTGAATAATAGGCAGTAAATTACACTTTGCAGCGCAGTTTAATACAATGCAATACAAGATGATAGGCAGCGTTATTATTCATCAATTCACACGCTCACAGCCTCCCACCGTTTGCAGTGACACTATTGTTCTCATAGTATGATATGAAGAGAGAAAAAGAAAATGCTCATATAAGAAGGAACTATGTTCCCTTCAGAAGATGCATCCTTTCGTTTTTTTCTGTAATTTCACATAATATCGAGCCACATGCTCTTAAAATTGTGCCTGAATGTTTGAAATGTGAGCGGAGCTTTTTAATTAAAATGTTCTGCAGTGTTTACAGAAATTTTTCATCCTTATCATCCTTACTGTATGCAGGCATTTTAACAGATTTAGAATTGACTTACATTCTAGGAAAGCATTAAAATAATGATTTTTTTTGGGTGGTATTTTTAGATTATCCTGCTCCATTTAGCAGTGTTGCTGATCAAACACTGGTTTGCAGCTCAGAACAATGGAAAACTCTGATTTTGAGCAGCATTGGTTCATATTTCATCTGGCAATGTAGGGCTTTATGTTACTTGGCAGTCATAAAGGATCTTATTTGAGAATTATGGAATACCTCAAGGCTCTTTTCAGGTTACATTTAATTCACATCTATTTGTGTCACTTCAGTCAGATTGTGAAATATTGGACGATCTCTTACTCGATGACCCTCAACTATCTATTTACAACAGTCCCTTAGATGCACTGAGTCAGAGTATCCATGTAATGAGTAAGTGGGGTCAGACTCTGAAATCATGCTAGAAAGTCAGAAATTGCAACTTTTTGTCCCTAAACTCCTAGATTAGATATTACTATCCAAATGATTTCATTATGGCTGAAAAACATAGAAATCAGACTAAAATGTTATGCACTAAATACATTTTTATTACTATATAGTCTTACCGTTATCTGAAATGTACTGCCAGAAAATGTTTATACTAATGCAAACACAGAACAAATGCTGCATGATTCACAATATACGACTGTTACTGTGTCTACTGGTTTCTGTAAAGTCATGCTAAAAACAGTTGGTTGCTTTAAATGGGGCAATACAGAATAATAGATATACAGCTATATATAAGAGATTTTTATACTATTCTTTCAACATATATCTTGCTTTCAGAGAATTTTTTTTATCTGCTTCTTTATTTTCCAGTGAAACACTGAATCACCCTCTGAATGGCACTAGACATTTAATCTTGACTTGCCTTTAAAGCTCTTTAATACCGTAGCACAAACCTTTCCCTTCCTTTCTACATGGTTGACAGGCTCTCTGTGCAGTTCTGCCCAGCACCCAAGCAGCCAATCATAAAGCAGAGGAAGGAATACACACACTTTCCCTGCACAGGAATGATCAGAATCAGTGTTTTTGTTTTTTAAGTGTTTTTTTTTCTGTTGAAGTCAGATTTTACGGACGAGATTAAATTTAAAGTCTTTGCCCACTTTAACATCGGACCAAGGATTTGACAACACTACAGAGCTGTAGAAAAGATTTAATCTGTCAGTACATCTGCTACATTTTCCTGGAATGCTTCTTTTTGACAATCCTCAGAAAGAAGTGTATTAAGCGCATCGGCTCTCATAGACCTACTGGCTTATTGTGTAATCTGTTCTTAGAGGGACCTGTGAAATGATTGTTCTCACTCATTAGTCTTGCAGTTGACCCTTTCATCTTCATCTTAGTGTCCCTGAAGACATGTGTAGCTTGTCTGTTGCTGCCTTTTCCCCCTCCAGAATATTAAACATGTGATTCTCTTATCAGCATGAAACTGAATAGAACATGGATGATGTCAATGGCAACAGGGAGGACATAAGTAAACAGTTGTGATTATTGCACTTGAATTTTTCAACATTTTTATCATTTGACTTTATTGGGATTTTATTTGATGGAGCAGCATTATAATGAAATAGAAAGAAGATCCAATCAATCACGGTCTGTACTGAAACTGCAATCTCGTTTTCAATGCAAATTGTAGTTGACAATAGAGATTGGTTGATTGATTGATTGAAAGAAAGAAAATCCTTTTTGTTATTCTTTTATTTTGTTATTTTACAAATAAAAATCTTAAAATTGTGGCATTGAATTAAATTTAGCCCCCTTAACTCTGATTTCCCTAAATAAATCGTAGTGTAATAAGTGGTACCTCAGAAATCTACTACTTGCTGAGAGTTGGAGCCCATTCACTCGTGATTTAAAACTAATAGTGCACATCAGTCTGCGCACCATCCCTTAGGTTGAAATAGTGGTTGCAGCTTCATGGTGACGGGGTGCTTTTCTTAATCAGAGGACAGCTGGTCAGAGTTGATAAGTAGATAGAAGGAACTAAATCCAGATCATACAGGAAGAATACTGTATCTGCTTAAAGCTGCAAAAGGGATTAAAATTGGCCAAAGAATCATTCCAGGAAGACATTTTTTTATGCCACCCAACAAGCTACAATATATTAGTATTCTATCTGACCTAGAGCTGTTCTATATAGAATATTTAACCAAATTACAAAATTACAGGGACATACCCAAAATGATCTGCTGCTTTCATTAAGGCAAAAGGCAGTTTAACAAGTATAACAAAGTACAGTACACAAAGAGTATTAATTAAAACAAATGTACTCTACTATATCATTTTCTTTCATTCCATCATGATATTGCATAAATTATTATGCTTTATGTCACTTATATCACATAAAATCTATTAAAAAAAACACATGTAAGCTTGTATTTGCAAGTTAATTTTATGGAAAAAGGTCCAGTTGTCAGGACAACATAAAACTTTTTTTAGTATGATATATAATCAGTGTTTGATGCACAGCAATCACATGCACTGAGATTCCCTCGCTTCAACTCTACGAACACACAGAAAGTAGGACGGCATCAAAAGCTGCAAACAGTGAAGAGCTCTTTACTTTGTTTTGTAATCTTCTTTGGCAAAAATAAACAGATGAAGAATTGAGCCCTGCGGTTGCATTTGTCGGGGGATTGAAGCACTTGAAGATGCACGCCGAGTCCTTATCACTGTTCGATTGAGAAAACATTCAGAGTGTGATTTTGGCACCTCGGTTCTAAATTTCTGGGACTGTGATACATAAAAATGGGAACGCTAACTGGAAGCAGATGTAATTAACTTTTTCTGACACTTTAAAAAGCAGCCATACAGGGTTTTTGTTTTCTGCAGTCCTAAGTGGGGGAAAAAAAGCAAATGTAGTAACCTGGCAGAAAGAAATTTCAGCTCTAAAATTGGATTAATCAAGGTCATTGAACTCAATTAGCCCCACAGATCCCACTTGTTTGGAGTAATCAGTCAGGGAGGCCAGGTGATACCAATTTCAAACCTTGAAAAAAAAAATCTTTACAAAGTTAACATAACCAATCCTCAGTAGGTAAGGAAAGTGATTTTTTTTAGGTTAGCAAAGTAATTAAGAAAGGTCAGTGAAAATAGAGACACTACAAACCTTTATGTTCTGAAACATATCCTGAAAAAGATATTCAAACCTGCCATAGCTTAGAGGTGTTACTCCCTGTTACTGAGAAGGAAACTCTGCTTCCAGCTTTGCTGGATCCTTATTGGGCCAAATTTAGACTAATGGTGTTTTCAGTCAGTTTTAGGACGTTGATATTCTAATGCAGAGATAAAAAAAAGATCAAGAAGTGTGATAACCACAGGCTCAGAATCCAATATGGCTGCTGTGCTTTTTTTAAAATATTTATAACTGCAACCCACAATTTTATTTTTTTTTTTTTACATCTTATCATTTTCTTAAAATCTACGGGTATCGAACAAAGCATGGACATATATTTCTTTTTTAAATACACTATTGTATACCTTAAAAATACATATAAAAAGGTTCACTCTGCACAAGATATGTGGTTTATTTTGCAATATAAGTTTTTTTTCTGCATAATGTATCTGCATCGAAACAAACTCTTATAAATGTGTTTTTACTTCTATATAAATCAAAAACATCCAGATTATTGAACCGGATGCTTCCACAGACATCATGACTTTTTCAGCTATTATCAGCGCTTTATTTTTCTTGCTTTTTGTTCCATTTATTCTTCTTTAATCTGTGAGTAGTTGGTAAGCCTATGCCACACTTTTCAGCTAACTTGACATTTCTATTTATTCTAACTGACTTTATATAGGTTTCATGACAGATTATCTTCTTTACAAACCTGGGATTAAAACCTTAGTCTCTCCTACTAACGTCAAAGACTTGAACTACACCACAGAAAGACAACAATTGTGCTGTCAAATATATTGAATATAATAGATTAATAAAAAATCAATGATTATCATCCCTATATTGAGATTTTTATCACCCTGTTTTTGAATTAGCAGCATGTGTTGCCAGTTTAACTTTATTGATTTTTACTTAAAGATGTAAAATAAAGGTTGCAAAGCATCCCTCATCCCAAGTAAAGGCGTTAACATGTGCTGGTGTGCAATAAGTTGCAAGCTTGTCACGCTGTGAGCTTGTCAGCTTCAAGGCAAGTGGCCTGCCGCTGTCATCCTCACACTCTTTTCTTCACACTCACCATGAATACTTGCTTATGCATATGCTCCCTCTCCTGTACTTCCTCTGCTCAGACTCTGGACGGTGACTCAGTTCTCACCCTGCTCTGCTCTCCTCCTCTTGTAGATCTCATCTGATGCCAAGACTGAAGGAGTCTCGCTCCCATGAATCACTGCTCAGCCCCAGTAGTGCTGTGGAAGCCCTGGACTTAAGCATGGAGGACGAGGTCATCATCAAACCTGTGCACAGCAGCATCCTCGGCCAGGACTACTGCTTCGAGGTGAGCCGCCACTCTTTTCTCCACATGAGACTTCAAAGGCTAAATATGTAGAATCATTTTTGAGAGTTGGACCTGCAAGGCTTTCATACTATTTTGGTCTTTAGAAAAGGTCTAAACCGCTGTTCTTATCTACTCAAAATCCATCTTCTAACAGATGCAAGTGAAAGAAAAAAACAACAACAAAAAACCCCCCCAAAAATATTTTTGTTTCATACATTTCATTTGATCAAATTCAGATAATGAAGTTTTTTTCTATCACTGATTAAAGCTAGCTGTAATGCATGCTTTAATACTTGAAATACCCTGTTAAAAAGAACATTAAATACATATTATTTTAATGTTGTTGTATTTCAATAACGTACCAATGCTGAAAGTAAGAAAACAACGATTCGTTTTAACATTTCGTAAGTTTAAGTCAATATCAAATCCAAACTTTATTTATATATCATTTAAGAACCAACAGGACCAAAGAAATTTACAAAAGCAGAAATTCAAGAACCATTAAATTATTAAAAACAACACAGAAAATTAAAGAGAAAACATTAAACCAAATAACACCAACATCATTTTCAGGTTTAAATGCAAGAGCAAAAAGATGAGACTTTAAAAATGATCAAAGTGGAATCCTGTCTGATGTTCTGGATCGGATACAGAGAAAGATGTTCATTTTATTAGCAATGACACTTTTTTATCTTATGACGTTTTATCACCTTAAATCAACAAATGTTTATGTACTTTGGAACTTTATGTGAAAGATTAACATAGGGAACATAATGAATAATTAGATGTGATGAGTAAAATCTGTAGAATACCATATAAATAGTGTGGTATGTATATAGAGATTACCCCATCCCTTTCATATTCCTAAATAAAAAAAATGCTGCTATATAGAAAGCAGCTAGGTGGTAATAAGAGGCTTCTGTGGTTCATTGAAATGGAATTAATGATGAATCAGGGTGAAGGCAGCATCACGTTGCTTTATGATGGACAGGGAAGGGTTCCTGGGAATGTGTCAGGGGTTTAATGGAGTGCAGGGATAATAAAAACATGTTAAAAGCTGCCAAAGTCCTAAGTCCTGACAAAGGTTCAGTTTCCAGATGTGATTCAATTTAATAGGATGGCTTGGATACAAAAAAAAAATTCATGTTAAAATCAAAGTACGGATCTAAATATAACTAAGATTTACAGACAGGTTTTGATAGAAACTAGTCAGCTCTTCTAACTAAGGTTAAGTTTAAAAACAGGAAGGGTTTAGTCTGTAAAAGGTTAAATTAGTTGTCAGAAAAAAGTTGTTCTTAAACAAACCATTTCCACATGGTATCTGAACACAAATACATGAGTTTGTGAATCAAAAATCCTAAGTGAAAAGAAGAAAAAACTAATTATAATGTTAAAAAGATCTTCAGTACAGAATTCTGTTTCATCGTTGTAACTTCTTTTCAAAAAACAGAAAATAAATGAATGTGCGATTATTAGCAGGCGTTTGGTATTTCTATAATAGATCCAGGAGAATTGAGAAATATCAGTTGATCTAATTATTACCTCGACTATAATTCTGTATCATTTTCTTCTCTAAAATGTCATCTAAAGAAAAAAATACACTCAAAAAATGAAAAGGTCAGACATCTTATTAAGTATGTGTTCATACTAAATTGAGCTCATCAACAAAAAGGAAACTTTCACCAGAAAGTATGTTATTGTGAATAAAAAAAAAAAATAACATCATTTAAAGTATTAGATTTAATTTTCTATTGCATTAATTATAGACCAGAGCTAACATGGGAAACTTCTGTTTTGTCCCCTCTTAATAGAAGGGAATTATTCCAAAATGTAAAAGTGAAATGGCCATAAATGGGTTTTTCATTGTTTCACTCCATTTCTAAACGCTCCAGTTTCCTGAAATAGTCCCTTAGGGATACTTTCACTAAATGCTGCTGCCTGCAAACAGTACACCTACTGTTTTGTCCACACATGCATAAAAGCATCAGAATAAATTCATTTTTCTCTCATTTCTCAAGATTTAACAAGTTTGACTTTTGGTTTTGAGAAAACTTTACTCGATTTTTTAGATTGGTAGATTGTTTTGGATCCCTCGTCTTCAGCTTTACTCATGATGACTCAACAGTCTCATCAGTGTTGTTTACTGTCTCAGCAGGCAACAGTAAAGCTCCAAAACCCACCCTATGATGCTGCTAATGAGCCCGGTTTGATACCCAACGGAGATAAGGGGGGGTAGTGATCTCTGTTAATCACAAACGCATTCATCTAAACAATGATACAGGCTAATAATATGTAAGTGTTATGCTTAAAGCTTGCCTTGCTGCTGCCGTTTCAAGTAGTTCTCGCTGTACTGTTGATGCCAAGAGGTAACCGTAGATTGTGTGGTTTTAATTAGTTTTCTTCTGATTTCTGGGTCAACCAAAGTTATGACTCTCTGTTTGTTTGTTTGTTTGTTTGTTAGTTATTTTTCTGAGCTCATTGTCAAACACTTTTACGTCCGAAATTTCTGTATATTAAAAAGCTCATCTGAATGAAATTACTCATGTAAAAAAAAAACTACTGTTAAAAAATACTGATACAGAACCTACTCAAAAAACTATGCATTTATGATGATGTTGATATAATTTATTGATAATTTTCCTATATAAAAGTGACAACCTCTTTCTCCATTACTTAATTCCAAAGCACACAAGATATGTGTGTGATTTTTAACTATTTGAATAAGTAAGAATGGTTCACATTCAAAGATAAAATTACCTTTAGCCATCAGCATCAAAGATGGAGGAGATCTAATACGCTTGTACTTTAAGACTCTGTCAGGAACAATTGCACTTTTTCTGTATTTGCTGACAGTTTTTTGGAAAGTTTGACGTCTGACTTATACGTTTTTTTGAAGCTTTCTTTCTTATTTTACTTTTTTTTTGCTCTGTTTGCTTCCCTAATTTAACTTGCAAGTGAAGACCATAAGTGAAATAAAGTTAAAGTATGAACAACCATCTCAGTTTAAGTATTAAACATTCAATATACCTTTTTCAGTGTTTCTTAAATTAATAAACAAAGGAAGGGCTAAGCTATCCAGAGAACAAATAAAACCTCTTTTTTTCTCATTCATCAGGAGAAAATCAAATTACTGCAGTTCTAAACAGCTATTCCAGTTGGATTTATATTTTACAGATATATTTAGATAAAAAAGCAATAAAAAATGTGCTGTATGCCAACAGAACTAAAAGAGAACTAAAGATGATCTACGATTAAGGATAGTGGTGAGCATTTATCTTCTACATATTTTAACTTCTTAAGAAGCAAACAGAATTATGTTAAGAATTATTTCTAACATAATTTAATAGATACTGTTGTAATATTATATTAAACATAGAAGAAACTTTTTTAAATGTCTGATTCATTTTGTCTTGTTCTAGATAATGAATCTAAACAAGCATATTTTTATTTCATTTGTTGAGAAATGTTTGCATTGCTAAAGTTATTACTGACAAATCATGAATGGGACTTACTGATATTACTTGTAAATTGTATTTTTCTAATGTATTTGCAAAAATGTTAACAAGGACATCCTTGCAAAGAGAAGATCCCAAACATTTGATATGACTCTGTGCATGACATTTTATCAGGCTCATTCACTGTTTTATTTTTTGTGGGGGGTTTTCCTGTTGATTGTATTTACAAAGAAACCAATATTATTAATCACATTTATGATCCTCATCATACTGTTGCTGTCGAGTAATACGTTTCCAACAGTTCTCTTAACAGTAGGCTACTTATTTCCATGTTTTTACAAATTTCCTGTCCAGTAAAAGAGAACAGAAATTAACAAAACTGTGACTTCTGAATCTCTAGACAGCCAGATCCACTCAGATAAAATTAGCTGTCTGATTTATTAAAGCCCGACAGTTCTTATATCTCTGTGTTTTTTACATAATAGCATTATTAGGTATTAGAGTCAGACGGCTTAACATCTTAAAAAGTTTCTTAGAAAATGTGCAAAGTAGATCTAGGCTAGACATTGAACACTGCTGTTTTTTAAAATGTTGATGCCGATGATTTTGACATTAGTGTAACCCCAAGATGTGCAAAAAAGTGACAAAAATGTGCACCAAATAAAACATTGACAGTTTACAGCAAATGGAGGGGGGCAGCAATGCATGCATTCCAAATGATCTCATGGCATGGCTGCTTAATGCAGTTATAAATGGGCCAATGCATGCATGTTTCAGCCAATGATGTTACAGGAAAGATTGTCTGGTCGATGCATTGGTCTATCTCTAATGTAAACAGATTAGGATCACAGCTATTCATTCTATAGTGGCTGTTTCCTAATTCTCATTTTGAAATCAAGGGTCTATCAGCCACAGCCATCCTCTTTCTTGATTATTATGACTGAAGCGTTTCCTAACTGCTGGGTCATTTTCTGTTCCAAGTCAACTACTTCTGTTTTTTCTTTTTCTTAACAAGATGATCTCTCTATCAGCAATGGAATATTTTTTATGTCCTTTTATAGTGAAATCTTAGGTGTCTTCCTTAATGGATAAGGTTCGATCATCATAAATTTGCTTTCCCTCTGTCTGTCTTTGCGATAGGTCACCACCTCCACAGGAAGCAAATGTTTTTCCTGCCGTTCAGCAGCCGAGAGAGACAAATGGATGGAGAATCTGAGGAGAGCCGTGCAGCCAAACAAGGTATGTAAATGCATGGGTTGTACCTGTGGCTGGGGAACTGTTGGGCAATAAGCACAAGTGAGCTCAAGCGTCCTAGTTACTAAACCCTGTCTTACAACACAGATAAAGACACATTACGGTGTCGACACTGGAGTAATTACTAACAACAGCATTTAGTCTTCGCAGCAAGGTTAGCGGTTCTTGCAGAGTACGACTCTAAAGTTTAGGATCCAGAGGTGGAATGGAGAAAAACTTTTCATTTTTGTGTGGCAAGAATGTCAAGGTAAGAGGATTGTCCCAATCAAGATGTTTCCACTTCTAAACCTCCCCTTCTTTAGATATCTGCTCAATAACTGGGTTTCTAAAACAGTTCTTTTGCTTGTCGATACTTGTGGAGCTACGATGTGGTTAATATTATTTGAAACTACTATGTGGACCATGATAATGGGCACTTATTGTTGAAATGTATAAAAAAAAAGCGTTCAAGTCATCGTTTATTGCAATTTATTGAGATTTATTGAGATCTTATGTTGATTGATCTGCTTTATATGAAGTGGTTTGACTATTACATTGGGCACCGACAAGATTCCCATGGTCTCTGAAAGACAAAAATAAAAGAAAGCCGTTAGCATCACCCATTCTCCACTATGGTTAACATTGAGCATGATGTTAAGTTCAAAGCTGTTTTTATTTGTACCTCCCTAACCATGAAGCTCACTTAAAAAGATAAAAAAGTATGCAGCCAGGCCGGTGGGTAAAAGAAGGCCTCTGTGTCTTCTCATATTTATGCCCCCTGCTAGTTGGTCACTTTTAATTCTAATCATCTTAAACGTAAAATATCAATAAAATATTAAGTTTGATTTATTTTAAAGAAAAGATATGTGTGTCCTCTTGTGGATATATGTATTAATTTTAAAGGCTGTACTTTCCCCCGATTTTTAAGCACATACTTTATGCTGCTGCTGCAAAAAAGGGCATTTTATAAGTTTTTACCAGGGGTTCTAATAAATGGGGACAGCACTGTTTATAATAACATTTATATTATAATATCTGTATAAATAAACATGCATATTTGAAACTGACATATTAACATAATTGTACACCCACCACTCAACTATTACTTCAGTCCTGCCAGGAGCTTCAGTAGTACAGTTTTATGAATGACACAAGATAGAAACAAATGTTCGTCCTTTCTGCATTTTAAAAATATTTTATCAACCTGCAAATGGCCAACAAAGTTGATCGATACAATTATAAAAGAAAGAGATTTCACAGCTAATAAAAAAAAAATGATTAAACCAAATTCCTGTGTCCTCGGCCTTATGCTGGAGTCTTTATTGCCAAGAATAAAACCTGTTAGAGCTGCAAAAGGCTGCTGAATTGGATGAAAGTATCGAACGCTAACCAACATTCAACTCGCTGAACAATGCGAAAAAATATAATTGTCTACATGCCTAAAAGACAGGCATCAAAGAACCCAAAAGATTGATGCACTTTTCATTGTATCTATTTGCTTTATATGCTATCTGAAAATGTTTAAAGGGAACACATCTGTTTTCCGCTGCTCTGTGAAGTCAGATTCAGACTCATAGATGAAGTCTAATTCAACCCAAGTTTGAACAGCCACATTCTGTTCATCTTTTGATTTCAGATGGTAAAATAACCTGATATTAGCACCTCCTGTGCAGCTGACTGACTGCGCACATGAAGCACTTAAGCATGCTTTGGAAGAATAAATGTGGTTTGGAAGTGATTGCTTTTCACCCCCAGTGTGTAGGAGGAATTGCCTCAAGGATTCAGGGGGGATTGACCCGCAGAGCAACCAAAAGGTGCTTACATTAATGGCTCTATTTAAAGGGAGAGGTCAAACAACTGAATCAAGATGCAAAAAAAAAGCTTCTATTAAATTTTCTCTTTAATAGAAGCTTTTTAATTCTTAAAAACAGCAAAGCCAAGTGGAACTATTGTTAATTCTCTTTTTAGAAAAGTTGAGGATATAAGTCCCATAATCAACTAATGCAAAATGAAAGATACAAATAAGTATTTTGTTTTCTTTAAGAAGTTAGCAAAAATGATCTAGAAACAAGTCACTATTTCTTAAATCAAGTGTATTTACCCTTAATTTGAGTAGGTTAATACGATGATCTGCCAATGGAATGAGTATTTTTACTCTTAAAATGAGATAATTAGATAGTATGCACTTAAAATCAGGACAATGTAATTGCTTTTTTCTTATTTTAAATGTAAATTGTCTTGTACCACTCGCAAAGTGTCTCACTTACCTCCTCAATTCAAGAATAAATGCACTTATATTTTAAGAAAAAAAAATACTTATTTAGATTTCAATTTTTTTCCAGTGCAATGAGACATGGACCCCTGCTACAGTCTAGTAAGCACCCAAACACTTTAGATTAAAAGATGTGAAGAGAAGCGGATGAGAAGAACTCATTTGCACTTACACAAGTAAGTGCTGTATTGCCATACACCTTACACAGGAAACGTGCTCCAAGTAAAATGAACTCAAATTACGGAGGTGTTGCATAGATACTGATAACAATTGCTCCCTCTAAACAGATAAAAGATAACTTTTTTGATAGAGCTCATTTAAAGGCATCACTTGAATCAGGGTTAGGCTAACATCAATTAAAAGTCAATTGTTTTAGCATTTGCAAGAAACTATCTCTTTAAAACCTCATCAGTATAACAGATCAAAAGAAAAGTCAGGACCAATATGGTAAAAAGCTCCATCCGTTTTATCAACTGCAATAAAAAAATTTTCACCCACTCTTACTCAATATATCACATTTTTACTCAAAGCTGGGCAAAAAGAATTCTCTTTTATGAAATTGCTTTTAACTCCATTATGTGCATAGATGCATGCCCTATACATTCCCTTTGCACTAGTTATTAGTAGCAATACAGGACCAGTTGCAGTTTGAGATGATCAGCAAGAATATCACACTTCATTCATTCTCAGTCTGTTGTTTATACTGCAATGCATCATGGGAAAGAATCTCTTCTTTGTTTCTCTTAAGGACATCCTTTGTGTTAAATGCAGAATTGAGTAAGAAGAAAAACACTGGAGCTCAATTTTTTTTTTTCATCATTTAACAAGCTGCTGTTGTTTCAAGGTCCTTTATCTCTCTCAGGAACAAATCTTTGTAAAAACAAACCTGACTGAACTGATAGACCTTTAAGCGTTCCAATGTTAAACTCCCTCTCTCCACAGTATCCCAACACAAAGCAGTAAATACTTGTGAAGGGGATGGATAAAATACTGTTTTTATCTGTTATCTATTTGATCTGGGGTTTTTTATCTATAAACAGGACAATTAACACTCACACAAAATTATGTCTTTGTTGAAGTTTTGTACGAAGAAAGGCAAAAGTCACCCTGTTCAATGTGTAGCAGAATCCATATAAGAAATGCAGCAATCATGTGGAGGAAAGTGCTCTGGACTAAAACTGAACTATCTGGCAGAAAACTAACAGTGAAGCACCATCATCAAAGTGAAACATGGTGGTCAGATTGAGGGAAGCTGGAAGGCTAATCATTGAGGCTATATAACTAATTATTTGTCTATCTCATGGAATCCATATCAAATTGTCAAATTTTGTAGATGCAATGTGACAAAATATTTTTGTTGCATCCATACAGTAGGAATATTAACCATGGGCTTATTTCCGTATGTGACAAAAGTGCTGACCGCTCCTGGTGAAATCAGGTGATGACCTGGGAACACCTTTGCAGCAGTGAGAAAAAAAAAGTTTAAAGCAGATAATTCTCTTACTTTATGGACACATCTAAAATTTCTTCTCAGTGGTTTATATAGTTAAAAATAGAAATAGAGTTTAATTAAATGTGTTTTAATATGAGAAAAAGTCAAATGCTTGAACTATTTCTGTGGCTATATTTCTTCCTCCCACCTGTTTTTAAGGTTAACATTGATCCTTTTACATTCTCTCCTCAGGACAACAGCCGGCGAGTGGAAAACATGCTGAGGCTGTGGATCATAGAGGTCAAGGACCTGCCGGCCAAAAAGAAATATTTCTGTGAGCTTTTCCTCGATGACTCACTGTACGCTCGCACTACCTGTAAGCTCAAGACTGATAACGTGTTCTGGGGGGAGCACTTTGAGTTCAGCAACCTGCCCGCCGTCAGGAGCATCACGGTCCACCTCTACAAGGACACAGACAAGAAGAAGAAGAAAGACAAAAACAATTACATTGGACTCGTCAGCATCCCTGTGGGATCCGTCACCGGACGGCAGTTTGTAGAGAAGTGGTACCCTATAAGCACTCCCACCCCCCCTAAGGGTAAGACTTCAGGCCCCATGATCAGGATCAAGGCTCGCTATCAAAGCATGAACATCCTTCCAATGGAGATGTATAAGGAGTTTGCAGAGTACACCACCAACAACTACATGCTGCTGTGCTCGGTGCTGGAGCCGGCCCTCAGCGTCAAGAACAAGGAGGAAGTGGCGTGCGCGCTCGTGCACATTCTTCAGAGCACCGGCAAGGCGAAGGTTAGTGATCCTGTTTTTATCACTTTCCATTCAGCCCACATTTCTATTCTCTACAGTGATGCTGCATATAAAAAGAACGATGTCGGTCCTTTATTTTGCTATGAGCCTCTGACTTCACATTACAAAAAGCTCAGAGAGGTTAAAAATTCCTCCGTTGCTTGTTAATCATGTGAACTCCTGACCCCAGCCCCCCCCTACACACAGCAGTAATACTAACAGCAGACACACAAGTGATTTCCTCTCTATATAGCAGCCTGAATTACAGTTATAACTCGAGCTAATCCCCTACATGCATCTCTTGGGGTGCCTCACAGCATACCGAAGCAGAAAATATTCACCGTCGGCTGCAGATTAGTCCTCTACAGCTGTGGCTAAGCCTCCCATGACAGCAGACCATTGGACTCAAATAACCCTTTATCCGTCTATCCAAATAAAGCAAGCACTGTACTTTGCTGAGCACAACTGTTGAAAGGTTAGAAGAAAAAACTTTTTCTTATATACGCCTTTGAGTTGAGCTAATGGTTAAAATCAAAGGCATTGTAACATTAAAGTTTAGTTGTATAAATCTATACTTTTTTATCTGCAGACAGAGTTTGTTGATGATCTGTAGCCAATGGTGTTTGGCTTAAAGTGTTTTCTATTATAATGGAGCATTTGTAGCATAAACAGGTCAGTTGCATGACCTGTTTATGCAAATAAATACCCTCAAAAATTCTGAGACTAAATAAATATTATTGATCTTGGCTCTGCATTGCTAACAGCTTGTTTTTGGTCAGAACTCAAACCAATATTTTTAAGCGTCAGGAGGTCCTAAAGTTTGTCTGGATATCACAAAATACTTCTTTTGGCAGTAAACTATAATAACCCTAAACATACAGCCAGAGGAATAATTTAGAACAGGGCTGTGAAACAGTGTCCTGCTACTTTTAGATATGTGTCTAGTCAAGCAAACTTAATTAAAATGACTGAATTACCCCCTGAACATGCTGTCATGGTCTGCAGAGTCCTCCCAATCACCTAGATACATGATTCAGGTCTGTTAAAACCTAGAAGCATCTAAAAGGTGCGCGACACTAGACCTCATTGGTTAGAGTTTGACACCTGTGGTTTAGAACAAAGCTCGTTCATGTGTCCCGTCATATTCAAAGCCTGATTCCAGTCCAGAATTTGAGGCAAGAGTGGAAAATTGATGTTTACAGATGCTAACAAAGCTTGAGCAGGACTAAATGTTATTTACATAGAAATCTGTAGCTATGTTCACAGGAGACAGAGACTCCTGAGAACCTGCATTCAACAGTCTTCCATCTGTGATTGTTTACGACGATAAGACGCCGTCTGCTGAAACTGAGTTTCATGGCTCTGATTTGTTTAAAAAATAGTCAAGAACAATGTTACTAAGTGAAGTTTTTAGCTTGACGTTTGCTGGACGACCTTAATCATTTACAAATACAGCTTGTGCCTCAGCTTGATGGTGTCAGCGGATCTTTGAAATCTTCTTTGACTTTTATGTGAGCCTGGCAGATTGAAGAATGATTGGCAGTTAAGATGGAATGTCTGTCCACAGCGCCCCGTTAGCCCGCTGGTTTAGGCTGCTCACGATACCTGATGATTGATAGGGGACCAGACCTCTGCTGGTCCCCTATGAGGGGAGGTTACATCTTTAATTACTATCAGTTAATCCTATCCATCTCAGTAAGGCTCTAAACTTTTACCTTCTTATTCACCCAATGGTCATCTGTTACCTCTGGATTTCCTTAAAGTTCTTCTCCCACTTGGAGTTTGGCAGGAGTGTTATTAGTGTGACAAAAATCACAGATGATGTGTTTTTCTCTGCAAGCTTTATGAAGGGCTGTCAGTGTGTCCCTTAATAAAAAAAAAACTAAGACGCAATTCAAAGCTTTTGGACTGTCATGCAAAGGGAAAATGTTCATGTAATTATTACCGCTTCCTTTATACTTGAAAGTGTGTGGCATTTTTAAACTTTAAGTCATGCTGTTCCAAGCAGCACAAAGCAGAAAAAAATTATAAACTAAAAATATTTCAAGCCTAAAATGGATATCTTCCACTGCAGCTCTGATGTTGTTTATTTTTCAACATCTTGCAGCCAGTCTAGGATGGGATGCTTTTTATATTTTAATGCAGAAGCTTCTTTTCATGTTGCGCCAACTTAGACATGGTCCAAAAATTGCGGAGTTATTTTTAGAAATTGAGCAGTTTTAGGTAAGCCTGTCAAAGTAATCCTGGTCTCTTTTTACGTCTCTTCAACATATATTCTAGACATTTATGGCACTTTTTCATTTACATTTGGAATCTTTTTTGCAAGTAGTTGTCTTCAGAATGGGGTTGCATTCAAATTGATTTATCTGTGAGTAAATTTCAATTTGGAAAAAAGTTAAAAAAGCTAAATATTGTTTTGATTCTTCTTTAGAATAAAACATTATAGAATAGAAGAATTTAAAATTCAACTTTATTACATTACACTGTCAAATACAAAGCAACGAAATTCACTTGGGGAGCAGTGGTTGGGGAGCAGTGTGGGGTTAAGGGTCTTGCTCACGGACCCAGGGTGTCAGTCTGTTCAATTGGGGCTTGAACTCAGAACCTCTGGGATTCAAGCGCAATGCCCTAACCACTAGGCCACCACTCCCAATATTACTATCATTATTTTATGGTGTTCCCCTTTGTGGTTGTAACAATGGATTATATTGAAGAATTTGGGGACTTTAAATATAGTTTAATCTACTGCAGAGAAAAGGCTTGTATTGAAGATGAAAACTTCTAGTTGTTACAGTCAATATGCAACAGCCGGTTTAAATTTCTGTTCTTTGTTTTGTCATTTTTATTACTCATCAGTGTGTAATTACAGCTCTGCTCGGTTGAACAGTCGTTAGTCATCTGACCACTTTCTTTTCGTCCTTTTCTTCGATCATCTCTGCTTCCATGCTTTGGCTGGTCCTGAGCCCAGAGCTCTCTGGGGAGATGTCATTACTGATGCCGTATTGATGTCTAGGGTGCAGCCATAAGCAGAGACACACCCTGCATCGGTACAGATGCCAACTCTGCTCACACAAAAGGATAACTCTCACAACGCTGCAGTCTAATGTTGTCTAAGATGGTGGTAATGGAATATGTGCCAACCCTGTTTTATTTAGGTTTAGAGAACAATAGGTTTATAGTTCTGTGCTGGAAGCCTTTGATACCCTCTCTTTGGGTTTTCTTCAAACCTGTGGGACATACATTCTGTCCTTAAACCTTAGACAGAACTATTAGAAGCCCAACATTTGTATTGGAATTGCCTTGTGAAGTTCACTGTCCTTTTATCTGAAAACATCCCCTCTTGGCTCGAATTCTCTGGGTTATTGATCTAGTCTTCTCGACGCCTGTTCCTCTTAGATAGATTACGTTCTAATTTTGCTTCTGCTTCTCTCGGCTCCACAGACTCTGGGAAGCGACAATGGAACAGATTTATTCTCATGATAAATGGGAATGGGAGGGTTTTACTCAGGATATTATACCATTTCACTGCTCCTCAGGGTAAACTGTCAGTCCTGGTTAACAGAGGGGAACTACTTGAACCTGGACTGTTTTCATTCTTTACTGTAAACTGTTACCAGCCTAAAGCGAAGCCATATTTCTTTTGGGGGGAAAAATAAGTGCAGGAATCTCTGAGAAGTAATTTTTTACCTCTTAAATCCCTACATATGTCAGTATTTTTTTCATGTGCCAATAGATTGTAGCGTTTTTCATTTAGGTTTCTCTATACTATAGTTAATATAACTGTTTTGAGGCCACCAGGCTCTTTATTAGCTGAAAAAATATTTGTTTAAAGATCAAGAAGGTGAAGATTGCTAGTAGAGGGGAGGGTCTAGCTGTGTCTCAGCGAATGAGGAAAAAAAGAAACCCCACTGCACATCATATCCCCAAACTGTTCAGTAATTCCTGCATGATGTTTTTTATTGACCGCTCCCTGACAGCTCAGAGTGATGGAAGATGCGTGGGAATGCATATGAAGCAATTCACGGTCACCTTGCTTATCTGGTTGCGGAGCCACATGACAATCATGTACAACTGCAAACACATGTTCGCCTGTTTCACAGTATTGAGAAAAAAGTTGAAACAAATTGGAACCAAAAAATCTACAATCACTGCATCCACTCGCATAAGTTAATATTCTGATCATTACTTACATTATCGATCTTTATAAGCATATCCTTTATTTTGTTGCATAGGCAGACTTTAAAATACACATTGACTGAGAATTACTCCAAAGAGTTGACATTTAGATGAATTTTTTAATAAAGTTATTAACATAGTCTGGATACTGTCCTGAGGTTCATTTTTGCAATGCAAAACTGCCCTGGCACAGGTAGGCAACCATCTGCTCCATATGGTAGTGTACTATACAGTATGCCTGAAATGCTGCGATAGGACACATTAAAAAAATAATAAATTCCCACGTTTTTTTTGTTTTTTTGCAAATAATGTTAACTGTGTAACTTGTTTCTGCTCTTACTAGAATAAAACACAACAGCACAATGTGCCATTATTAGCTTCCCTAATGTGCTAATATCAACTACCCAGTAGTCCTACAAGTAGTAATGAATATATTGCCACTCGTACATTAAAAATAAAAAGATAGTTTTAAAACTTTTATATTTCCCGTTTCTTGCAACTCTACCACCTGACTTCCAATAGGAATGCATAAATCTGACATGAACTTGTCTGTAATTATGTGTATAACTTTCTATCTTTTATATCTTTGTATTGTTAGCTCACACTCACTAGTCACAGCTTCATCTTTTGTATAAGTTCACCTTCAGCTTGATAACAAACTTCTTTATTTCACAATGTATACTCTAAAATCTTTTGTGATATTATAGAACTGTCTCAGAGGATGGAGCAGTTACCGTATTACTAGAACAGTTGTTATTTAGAAACAAGTGTCCCACAGTTATCGCAGAAATATAATTTCACACTTTTAATATTAACATTTTAAGATA